GTTTATCGGCCAGGCTGGCACAATAAACTATCTCAGAAACCAAGTTTAATTTAAACGAATCAGAAGCAGAATAAAACCAGCATCTTCAAATATAATGCTATTAGTGCTACCTAGAGGAGACCTGGTGGCTTCCTGCAAGCTCAGGGGCTCAACACCACCGGCTGCTCTGCAGGAGAAAGACAAGACATTCTACGCCCAGAAGGAGAGACAGTCTTAGAAACCCACAGGGGAAATCCTACCCGGTCCTATCGCGTGCTGCTATGGGTTGGAGTCTACTCAATGGCAATGAGTTTGGATTTTGGGGTGTTATTTGGGCGTTCTGGTGGCACTGTGGCTAAAACATTTGACTTCCAACCAAAAGGTCAGTGTTCGAAGCCCATCAGCCACAGTACGGGGGAAAGATGTGGCAACCCGTTTCCATAAAGATTATAACCTTGGAAACCCCACGAGTCAGTTCTACAGACCCCACAACCCCATAACGTCGCTAGAGTAGAAGCAACTCAACGGCAGATTTCCGTTGTTGTTGTTCTAAAGCCATTTGCGGAAATGTTTTCATGCATTGGGATCATGTGATATATTGCGAAAAGCGGAAGGCCAAAATGAGTATTCTTTTAGGAGAAAAAAAATGTAAATTGAGGGCAAATCATGTCTCTTCAGACAATGCAAAAAATGGTTGATCTTTTTATTTTTAATGTGACTTTTCCCCCCTTTGTCTCTGTTTAAGGCGCTCTCCTTTTTGAGAAGATTCTGTGTGACATTCCCAGCATTCCACATAAGATACACACTTTCATTTCATCCACCTCTCAGTGGTAAGGCTGTAGGTTCAATAGGATGGCCTTAAGGGACAGCACTGGCATATTTTTATGATTGTCAGGTTCATCCACATCTCCCTGGAGTTGAATCGACTGTCATGTGATTAGCCAGAGGTCCTGTCGCATGCCCACGTTAATGTCATCATCTCGTCTCCTCGCCTTGCTGGCTCCCAGTACTTCTCTGCAGGGCAGTGCTTGCTGCCTGGTCTGCAAGCTTCCCCCTCGGCTGCTTCCTTTCTCCACAGCAGTCAGCGGAGGTGCCTTCCCAGGCCGCTCTGTTGAGTGGCTGGAAGCTGTGGGTGAGATAGTGGGAGGCAAGCTGCAGGACTGTCCAGGATTCTCCTACCTCGGAGTACAGAATCACTGGCTAGGAACTCGGGCCTCACAGGAGGAGGGCCTGCCATAGTTGCGCCAGCTGACCAGTGTGGTCAAGGAGGCCATTCTAAGCCTCCAGCTCAGGTGGGCTTTAGCCCCTTTCTTACTGCCATTGAGTGGATTCCATTGTATTACGGATCCTATAGGACAGAATAGAATCCACCCCTGGGGGTTTCTGAGGCTGTAAATCTTATGGTAGTAGAAAGCCTCATCTTTCTTCCACAGAGTGGCTGGTGGTTTTGAACTGCTAACCTTTCTGTTAGCAGCGTGGCATGTAATCACTGTGCCACCAGGGCTCCTCAGTAGTGATGAAAATTTACCCTCTGGGTATTATAGTCCAGGTTAGATTTTGGGATTAGCAGCATCTTCACATGTTTCAACTTCTCTGCTCCTTGCTTCACTTGATGAACATACCTTATGGGATGCTAGCAATTAGGTTCTAACTACTGTTAGTAGTAGTTAGTAGTACTAACTGCTGATGAGCAGGACAGATGAGGTGGCCTTACCCCCGGGGAGCTGATTACCTAACAGGGAGATAGGCATTAGACAAGTAATAACACAAATTTCACATTGCACCACGTATGCTTATATAATTGTTATGGAAGTTAAATTAGCCTCTGCTCCGTGAAGGCAGGGCACAGTGCATTTTGGCAAGAACAAGGGCCACCAGGAAAATCAGATGATGTTCCCCACCTGCAAGCACTATCCCAGGATATCCCGGGACTATCCCAAGAGCTCTCATGGTTAAGACATCTTAAGCATTTGGGGTTTTCCCCCCTTAGCACTCTGATGGGTCTCTGTGGGGGACCGTCCTGTGCCTTATCGGATGTTCAGTAACCTGCCCGCTTGTATTCAATAGAATCTAGTGTCACCCATTCCTCTTGCATAATAAGAAGCAAAGCTGTCTACCCCCGTGGTTAAATATCCCCCACAAGGCAAAATCACACTACCCCACCCCAAGTTTAGGACCACTGCCCCATAAACTCCCCATGTGCCTTTTGGAGCTCCCCAGTTACACTTCTGGAAGAGGGGATCAAAATCCCTCAAATCTTCTGATGTTGAGTGAGCATGATAACACGCAAACCCTACGACATCCCATTGTGCTCCAAATCGCCCATAGAAGACGTCCTAATTCCTGAGCCAGACCCATGAGGCCCTTCATGATTTGTCCCCTGATTAACAATCTCCTGGGGTGTGTGGTGACTTCCGAGTTGGGTTGCTAACTACAGGATTGTAGGATCAAGCCCACCAACTGCCCTATGGGAGACTGATGAGGTTCTGAGCTCCTTAAAGAGTTCCAGCCTCGGAAGCCCACAGGGGCAGTTACAATCTCAGAAGGACAGTCTTAGAAACCCACAGGAGCAATGCTCCTCTGTCCCCAGGTCGCTGAGTCAGAATGGACTGGGTGGCCATGGACTTTGAACAATCCAGCCATGGGGCTGGGCTACCAGATGGAAGCTTGGAGACTAGCATCCACCCAGGGGTGCCTCGGAAGATAGGCCTGGCGATCCATCCTCCAATAGCCACCAGTGCAGGTCCTGTGGGCACTGCTCAACTCTGACTCACGTGAGCTCGCCATGAGACAGAACAGACTGGACGGCAAGTGGTGAAGTGCAGCCAGCACTATCTCCCAGGACCCTCCTCTCCTCTCCTCCTTCCTAAATCTCTCTCTCTCCTCTCTGCCTGGATGGCCCTTTTCTTTCTGTGTCTGTGAGGAATTCCCCCACATCCTTTATGCTTTCACAGAGGGGCTGCCTAATAGAAAATGTGTGGACCCCACACTCTCACAGGAAAATCTCCAGGGAGACCTTCCACCCCAAGGCCCCTACTACCTGTCTTCCCCATGGATGGGAGGCCAGCCTCTCCTCTGGCTCCCCTTTCCTTGGGAGAGTAGCTCTTCCTGAGCTCCTGCAACCTGCAGGGGCTCAGTTGCCATTGCCCACCTCTCTTGGGACCACAGCCCTTGTCTGTGTCTGTAGAGTCATGAGGATGACTTCTGAGTGTCCCTCCCCATGCCCCCGGGCTACTCCAGCCACAGATCATGGCCAGGATGCTGTTTCCTTTTACTGGCCTCTGGGAATATCCCTCTCCCCCTTTTAGAACACAATTATACTTTAAAAACAATGTTTTCTGGAGATGTACAATCTGTTAGACACCAACCCAGAAACCACCTACACACCCTGGCATGGCTGCTGGCTGCGCTCAGGGCGGCTTTGCCTCCAAGTTGACGAGGCCCAATAGTCTCCAAGCCTTACCCAGGGCCACTGCAGCCACGTTGAGCCCTGCTTAATTACTATACACGCACGCACACGCACACACACACACACCTATGCATGCACAAATACATACATGCATACGTATTTCTGTGTATATGTATTTCTGTATGTGTGCTCACAAACACACCTACACAAAAGACACACACGCACACACACACCTATGCATACACAAATACATACATGCATACATATTTCTGTGTATATGTATTTCTGTATGTGTGCTCACAAACACACCTACACAAAAGACACGTGCGCCCACACATACACAACACACTCATATGCACACACATAGACACATGCACTCATAAGCATACACACAAACACTCCTATGCACACACCACACACACAATAAACACACGTGTGCGCACATACACTCACTCACACATACACACATGACCTCATCCATACGCCCTCATCCAGAATAAACACCCTCCACATACACACGTGCATGCATATGCACATATACATATGCAATAAACACCACCCCCAATGCAGGTGTGCAATCCTGTGCCCACTTACCCACATACACACATGCATTCATATGCACACACTGATGCACACTAAACACTGCCCCCCCCACACACACACACATACACATTTTCCTCTTCCTCCCACAACAGACAGAACTCTGCTTCTCCAGCAGGTGAAGCCAGCTCATCTTCTCTGACTGGTGACTGGGTGTCCGAGGAGCTGGGGACAGAGTCCAAGGCCACCCTCTCTCCCAGATGCTCAGCATCTCCGTCCCTCCAGGAAGTCCCCCAGGACTCAGCTCTCCAGTCCCAGCTAATGACGGCCGCTGAGCATTTCCCTAAGAACAGCCTGGATCATTCAAGTGAGTTCCCGAGTCTGCTTGTTTCCTAACGTGAGCTTTGCCCTACCCAATGAGTTCTTCCTTTTGGGATCTGGGAAGGACTTGGTGAGAGAGGACACTGGAGTGGGCACCCCCTGTGCTGGCAGGTGTCTCTGTATCTCTTCTTGAAGTCTCCCAGAGTCCTGAAGAGACATGGCAAAACGGTAGGTGCTGGCACAGCCAGATATTGGGTCCTCGACATCATGATAGAAATAAAAAGATAAGAAAGCCTTCTTTATTTGGAACAAAGCTGGAGAAGCTCTTGTCCCTTAATCTCTGGTTTGCCCGTTGCTGATGCCTCAGGGTGGGGACAAGGTACAACAGGGGCTGACAGTGCACTCCGCCACCAACTCATCCAAGGCCCAGCCCAGCTCATTCCCCGAATCGTCAGCTGTGACTCTGGCACAGTTGACCAAACCCTCTGAAGCTCAGCTCCTTCCATGGTTCCTACCGTTGAACAAGGGAGGCCCGGTGACACGAAAGTTCAGCGCTCAATCAAACGATGGCCGTTCAAACCCACCCGGGGCTCTGAGGAAGAAAAGACCTGTTGGTCTGTGCCTATAAAGACTACAGTTTAGAAAACCCCCCCGAGGAATGTGTTACCCTGTGACCTGTGAGCCAGCATCACCTGGAGGGACTTACAAACAATGGCCACCTTTTGATGACTCCATAATTCACAATATGCAGCACGACAGACAGTACATCCCAAATAGCCAATACGTGGGAGATGATTGTATCATAAGACTGCTTTTCATGGGGAAAACTGGAAAAGGTGGCGAGGTGACTTCCCAGGGAAAATGCACAGGGGCCATCAACACAGAGGGAAGCCTGCTGGTGGAGTGGTGCTTACGTTCTTGGCTGCTAACTAAACGGTTTGTAGTTTTGGCCCACCAGCCAGAAAGCTGTGGCAGTGTGCTTCTATAATGATGTCAGCCCTGGACATGCATGCCATGGGAGCTATGAGCTCCTAGGGGGTAATGGGCTTTGGGGTTTCATCAACAAGGACCAGGAAGCCAATGACCCCAATCTCATCAGTGTTGCAGTTTCCTGGGAGATACAGGGAGAGGAAACAGCCATTGCTGCACAGAGTGAACAGGACACTGATGAGGGAAGCAGGCGGTATCATGGGAATAGAGAGAGGGACTGGCTAAAAGTCAGGGCAGAATTGAAGCAATCAAAGCCCCAAACCCAAACCCTACTATCATGGAGTCCATTCCGATTCACGGGGAAACTTCTAGAACAGAGTAGAAACACCCTCATTGGGCTTCCAAGAATGTAAATCTTTACTGGAGCAGACAGATTGCCTCAACTGTCTCTCTACGAGCAGGTGGTAGGTTCAAACCACTGACTTTGCTAGTAGTAAGTAGCCCAGTGCTTACCTCACTGAGCCACTAGCTCTCCATCAGTGCTAACAGATACCTACCAAGTAAAAGGCAACAAAAGGAAGCAGCATCGATGAGCCAATTGTGCAAACTCACACAACTTGGATCTCTGTGGAACTTGGATTTAAGCCCAGTCCCATTCGGCATCCATGTCTAGGGATCTCCAAAGCTTTTTTCCAAGCTGGATGAGTTCTATGAGGAGAAAACACGTTTTGGAAGGATGGCTGGCTGTTCGTCCGAACCCACAACCACTAACTCAGTCCTCGGGAGACACAGGAGACGGACATAGCAGCGGCATCCTTCGCGACGCCTTCAGTTGGCGTCGCCATCCTTGTGTGTTCCACCGCACGGCGAGTCAGGTGGGCCATTAGCAGATCCCATGCTCATGGCAGGCAGAGCAAAAATAAACACAGGCGCGGGACGTAGCCATTCCAAATTCTGAACAACTGTTGCAGAATCGAGAGTTTGAAGCGCTTGGCAGAGATTCGGCTGGCGTCTGTTCATACTTTCCTGTAGATCGCCATCTGAGCATCGTGAAGCCAGCTCGATTTCTTCTAGGTCATGAGAGTGCCACTGGCAACCCCCGGCTTACCTGTGTGAGGCATCATGAACTCAACCCCCGACTTACCTGTGTGAGGCACCATGAACTCAACCCCCGACTTACCTGTGTGAGGCACCATGAACTCAACCCCCGACTTACCTGTGTGAGGCACCATGAATTCAACCCCCGACTTACCTGTGTGAGGCACCATGAACTCAACCCCCGACTTACCTGTGTGAGGCACCATGAAGTCAATCCCCGACTTACCTGTGTGAGGCACGATGAACTCAACCCCCGACTTACCTGTGTGAGGCACCATGAACTCTACTGAAGGCCTCCATCTTTAAAAGTGATTTGTGTCTTTGTACGTATGCAGAGATGTATGAAAATAGATCCGTGCAATATTTCCAATGCCCAAAGACAAACGGAGGCTGGCTTTATAAAGATACCGAGATGCTGTTGTTGTTGGATGCCGTTGAAGAGGCTCTGACCCATAGCGACCCGATGCACAGCAGAACCCAACACTGCCAGACCCGGGCCGCCTCACAGTCATCCTCGTGTTTCAGCCGATCACCATCATTGCAGCCACGGGTCAGCCCATCTCGTCACGGGCATTCTTCTTTTTCACTGCCCCTTGACTTTACCAAGGAAATGGTCCTTCTCCGGGACTGGTCTCCCTTGACTGACAATAAAATGAGGAAACCACTCTCCTCTGCCATCGAGGCAATTCTGACGCATGGCGGGCGACACTGTGGGACAGGGTAGACCTGCCCCTGTGGGTTTCTGAGACTGTGACTCTTTACTGGAGTCAAAAGCCTCGTCTTTCTCACACGGAATGGCTGGTGGCTTTGAACTGCTGACCTCGAGGATCACGGCCCAGCACATAAATGCTGTGCCCCCAGGGCTCCTTGGGATAGAGGTGCTCTGCTTATATAAGAAACAACTGACAGTGGGGTCACTGCTGTAAGTCGGGGACTACCTAGACTCACAGGCTCATGATTGGTTCAACTTCTGCAGTTTTAAGAAGCTTGTACAGTGGAAGAATTGAGGTCCCCACTACTATGGCTCTATCCACTGAAAGAATTTACTGCCAGCAAAGAATGTGTCAAGGGCAAGCAGTCTGTTCTATACGTTTTCCTGTTCAGCCTCCAGAGATTCTCAATAGACAGTGTTTCTATTCGTCCCCCTCCTCAATGTCAGACATAACTTTATCTTCCAGCTGCACATGCTTTATAAATCTTGTCCCTGGCACCTTCCAGTGGTGCGTGACCTTGGATAAGTTTCCCCATTTCTCTGAGTCTTGGTCTTTTCATCTACAGAACTGAGATACTGGAACCTGCTACTTCCCGGGCTGTTGTCCCAAGGAAATGAATGCATGGGAGAAAGCTCTTTGTCAATGATAAGGCAATCATCGACAAATTGCAGGCATTGTTATCTAAACCGCCGCTGTCACTGCCACCACCATCATCAAGATGAGAGTTAGATTTCTGACATTAGCACTAATTCTATACAACATTTTCCCAACGTTCAAGCAAAAGCCCAAAGCCCACACGGTCTAAGTAGCATAATTAGGATAATTTATTTCTCAGCGATGGAGGGAACTTATCTTGACAAATGTGTCTAATGAATGGCCCCGTGCAGCTTTTAAGTAATTCGATCCTATTACTTATGACAGTGCTTGGGATGGCGTAAGAGCCTAGCAGAGAAGTTTCTGCATAACGTTTGTTGCTCCAAGATAACTGAGTCCCCTGTGATTTCTAATCTATTTCACTTTATTTCTTCCTATTAGAAACCCATTTTCTGCAAGAAGCCTCCTTCCAAGCCATCCTGTTGGCTGCCTGTCTCATCTTTTCTGCATGTGCCAGGTAACTCAGAGATAATCACGGTGCAGCGGTTACTTTTGGATGAGCAGAGCCGTGGTTGGTTGATGGATTCGTTGTGTCCACAAAGCAGGGTCGGTAGCTTCACCATTGGGATGTAGTCACTTGTCTGACCATGAGAAGGGCCCTTCTTTCTGTGTCACCTCCTCCCACTGTCTCACAGAGCCTGGGTCCAGCATGTCCTGCCTCGTTCCACATCTCAAGAGACTCCTTGCACAGATCCGGTGGAAACACCCTAGCCTGGAATTCAAGGACACTGAAAGTCACTATTAGGAACGTGGTGTCCTCACCAGGACTCTGCTTTCCTTTGCGTTTTTATACAATAATACGAGCTCTTTGTTCCAGGGAAGTCCGCTCAGCAGCTCAGAGCACAGAATATGCATGTCTGATTAGAGGAATTTCCTGTTCCCCCTTCTGCGGACACCCCACCTCCCCCTGCCTTTCTGTTTGGTCTTTGCCCAAGTCTCAGTAGAGTGATAGAGTTCTAAGCTGCCTGCTCCTGCCTCAGGGCCTTTGCACTCGCTGTTGACTGTGTCTTGGCCAGTTTTCTCCAAATACTCTGAATCATAAACCCCAAAACTCACCATCATTGAGTAGATGCTGACCCTTAGCGGCCCTATAGGGCAGGGGAGAACTGGCCCTGCGGGTTTCTGAGACCGTAGCTCTTTACAGTAGTAGAAAGCCTCCTCTTTCTCCCACACTCGCAGCTAGGATGCCCTCACTGCCGTCTGGAATCTGCTCAGAGGCCACGGCGGCAGGGAAAGCTCAAGAAGCACCTTGGTTGCAGCGCACACCAGTTGCGCCCCCCACGCTTGACGGCACACTTCCCTGCCATGCCTCCCAGCATGAGGCATCTCCTTTGTTCATTTGCTTAAAGCTCATGGTCCACCTGGTGCTCCTGGGATGCGACCTCCGTCAGAGAGGAGACACCACAGGTCCCCTTCACTTAGGAACCCTATGTCCGAGCGTTACTGACAACCTGCTGAATCAATGACTCAGGGGGCATGGCACTGTGCCAAGGTTCTGTGGTCCTCCCACCGAATTCACCAAATGCTGCTTGCTCTCAAGACATGCTCTTCCGAGCCAACCCACCCAGAACCGACTCCAGAGAGCTTTTTAATTTCCCCCTTAAAAATCCCAAGTTTTTTTTTCTTTTCCTTTTTAAATTTTTATTCAGTTTCTCTTTTTAATCATTTTATTGGGGGCTTGTACAATTCTTATCACAATCCATACATACAT